TAGGCTCAGGAATCTGTACACCAGTTGATTGACGGTTGAGAGGCGGGACCAAAGAGCCAGAGCTCAACCCCCGCAAGCACAATTAGGTGAGTACAATTAGGTGAGTACACACACACACACACACACACACACACACACACACACACACACACACACACACTTATAGAAATAACAGGACACTTGATAGCAGAGAAAGATACCAGAGTGCCAGGAATGAATATGTCAGGATGAGAAGAGAGGCAGAAAGACAATACGAAAATGACATCGCGAGCAAGGCAAAGACTCAAGCCTAAATTGCTGTACAGCCACATCAGGAGAAAAACAACAGTAAAGGAACAGGTAATGAAATTAAAGATAGGGGCAGAAGGATTCACTACAAACAACAAGGAAGTGTGTGAAGAACTGAATAAGAAATTCCAGGAGGTCTTCACTTTAGAGCAGGGAGAAATTCCAGAAATAAGAAAGGGAATAGTTAACCAGGAACCCCACAGTGGCACTCCCCACCACCACACCCACAGTGGCACTCCCCATCCACACCCACAGTGGCACTCCCCACCACCACACCCACAGTGGCACTCCCCACCACCACACCCACAGTGGCACTCCCCACCACCACACCCACAGTGGCACTCCCCACCACCACACCCACAGTGGCACTCCCCACCACCACACCCACAGTGGCACTCCCCACCACCACACCCACAGCGTCACACCCCACCTCCACACCCACAGAGTCACTCCCCACCTCCCCACCCACAGTGGCACTCCCCACCACCACCCCCACCACCACACCCACAGTGGCACTCCCCACCACCACACCCACAGTGGCACTCCCCACCACCACCCCCACCACCACACCCACAGTGGCACTCCCCACCACCACACCCACAGTGGCACTCCCCACCACCACCCCCACCACCACACCCACAGTGGCACTCCCCACCACCACACCCACAGTGGCACTCCCCACCACCCCCACCCCCACCACCACACCCCACACTGACACTCACCATCAAATCTTCACAAAAGAACCTTCGGAAAGGTAAAAAAATTGCCAATTACATCATTTGTCAATGTTTGGAGGGCCCGCTGGTGGGGCCCCCTGGTGGGTGGCTGGGCCCCCTCCCCATCACTACCCCCCCACCAACCCATCACCCCCCCCCAACCCATCACCCCCCCCCCCCCCCCAGCCGGACACACAAGTCCCACAGTAATGACGCAGTCACGAATTGCTTTTTTAAATGTAAAAGGACGAGGGACGTTCAGAGTGAACCACCGCGCCGGCACTCACAACCCCAAATGTTGTAGTAATAATAATAATAATAATAATAATAATAATAATAATAATAATAAGAAGAAGAAGAAGAAGAAGAAGAAGAAGAAGAAGAAGAAGAAGAAGAAGAAGAAGAAGAAGAAGAAGAAGAATTCAGGAGGTTAGCGAGCTTCGTACAAGTTATTGATATAAATATTTCTATTGACAAGATTCTTGGGCCCCAACACCCGGCCACTGTAAGGTGGTGATGGAAGTCGATGGTGAACAGTGACACTGTCAACACTGGCTCACAGTGTCTGCAGGTGTGGGGCACCAACACTGGCTCACAGTGTCTGCAGGTGTGGGGCACCAACACTGGCTCTCAGTGTCAGCTGGTGTGTGGCACCAACACTGGCTCTCAGTGTCAGCTTTTGTGTGGCACCAACACTGGCTCTCAGTGTCAGCTGGTGTGTGGCACCAACACTGGCTCTCAGCAGCAGGTGTGGCACCTAGATTACTCAGTCCCCCACGACATGGCAACTCAGTCCCCCACGCCATGGCAACTCAGTCCCCCACGCCATGGCAACTCAGTCCCCCACGCCATGGCAACTCAGTCCCCCACGCCATGGCAACTCATTCCCCCACGCCATGGCAACTCAGTCCCCCACGCCATGGCAACTCAGTCCCCCACGCCATGGCAACTCAGTCCCCCACGCCATGGCAACTCAGTCCCCCACGCCATGGCAACTCAGTCCCCCACGCCATGGCAACTCAGTCCCCCACGCCATGGCAACTCATTCCCCCACGCCATGGCAACTCAGTCCCCCACGCCATGGCAACTCAGTCCCCCACGCCATGGCAACTCAGTCCCCCACGCCATGGCAACTCACTCTCCTATCACAGCTTGGTGTATATATATTACTCTTGTGTTAAAAGTTACTAACCATCTGCCTCTGAGGCTGCTAAGTTGTGCCTTAGTGAAACGAGACAGCTGGCGCCCATTTTAATAATGTAATGTGAGCTTTGGCAGAACAAATGTTCAACTTTCCATCTCAACTGGAGCTTGAAGGTGGATGTCATCCACACGAGCTCGGTCTCCTGGGCTCCAGAACCCACCCTGGCCTCGTAGGTAGTAGGAGGACTCTGGAAACCCACTCCAGGTACTCTCCTGGCATAGAGCCACGCCCTCCAGTACAAGTTTGTTTAACTTTACGCCTCTGACGAGTGAAAAGATGTGCCATTGTACTCGTCGTGTGGTTTAGGAACCGGATAATTAGTGTTGTATTGTTTGTGTGTGACTTGTGAATTGTGGGGGGGGGGGGGGAGGGGGGGAGGGGGGGAGGAGGGGGTCCCAGAGGTCTCTAGTGGGGGGAGGGTGGTGGGGGGGGGGTCTCAGGGGGTCCCAGAGGACTCTAGTCGGGGGGAAGGGGGTGAGGGGGTGCGGTTGTGACACCACAAATGAGGGGGGGGGGATTCACCCCTGCACTATCACCATCCTACAGGCGGGGGCGGAGAAGGGACGGTGACCAACCACGTGGACCCTCGGGGATCGAGCACCATCCATGCAGGAAGCAGTGAATAGGCCCAGACACCACAGAGTGAGACAAGAACACATATGTTAGCACCACCAATGAATTTACTAATCAATCATTTCAGTTATTTCATAGAAACGATATTTTCTACACGCACTCACGCATGGACGTTCACACGCGCACACGCGCATGAACAAACAAACACACACGCACACAAACAAACAAGCAAGCACACACACACACGCACACAAACAAACAAGCAAGCACACACACACACGCACACGCACAATTCACCGAATAGCCAATCCTGGAGAGTCGAGGTTGCCAGTATATTGATTCCTTGTCCTTCTATTTCACTTACTGTCTGTACAACCTCATGTCTGGTGCCTCACAAGTGCCACGCTCTCCAGTGTGTGAGTGCTTGGTGAGTGCTTGGAGATGGCGAGTCACTCATCCTGCTGTCACTCATCAGGTAGTGACACACTCATGTGCTGTCACTCATGAGGTGACATAGTCGTTAGCACACATCACTCCCACGCTAATTACCCCCCCCCCCCCCGCCTCCTGAACCACCCCCCCTTGTTCCACTTGGCACTCTGAGGGTGCCAGGGATGACCTTCCACACAAGTGGAAGAGCAATGGTTTTTATAGTTTATTCCATAGTTGAAACGTGGGGTTGTGGAGGCACTGGGCCCCACACCTGCACTACAACAGTGCCTGCAGGTGGGCCCACACCTGTAGTACAACAGTGCCTGCAGGTGGGCCCCACACCTGCACTACAACAGTGCCTGCAGGTGGCCCCACACCTGCACTCCAACAGTGCCTGCAGGTGGGCCCCACACCTGCACTACAACAGTGCCTGCAGGTGGGCCCCACACCTGCACTACAACAGTGCCTGCAGGTGGGCCCCACACCTGCACTCCAACAGTGCCTGCAGGTGGGCCCACACCTGCACTCCAACAGTGCCTGCAGGTGGGCCCACATCTGTACTACAACAGTGCCTGCAGGTGGGCCCACACCTGTACTACAACAGTGCCTGCAGGTGGGCCCCACACCTGCACTACAACAGTGCCTGCAGGTGGGCCCACACCTGCACTACAACAGTGCCTGCAGGTGGGCCCCACACCTGCACTACAACAGTGCCTGCAGGTGGGCCCACATCTGCACTACAACAGTGCCTGCAGGTGGGCCCACACCTGCACTACAACAGTGCCTGCAGGTGGGCCTCACACCTGCACTACAACAGTGCCTGCAGGTGGGCCCACACCTGCACTCCAACAGTGCCTGCAGGTGGGCCCACATCTGCACTACAACAGTGCCTGCAGGTGGGCCCACACCTGCACTACAACAGTGCCTGCAGGTGGGCCCACACCTGTACTACAACAGTGCCTGCAGGTGGGCCCACACCTGCACTCCAACAGTGCCTGCAGGTGGGCCCACATCTGCACTACAACAGTGCCTGCAGGTGGACCCCACACCTGCACTACAACAGTGCCTGCAGGTGGACCCCACACCTGCACTACAACAGTGCCTGCAGGTGGGCCCACACCTGCACTCCAACAGTGCCTGCAGGTGGGCCCACATCTGCACTACAACAGTGCCTGCAGGTGGACCCCACACCTGCACTACAACAGTGCCTGCAGGTGGGCCCCACACCTGCACTCCAACAGTGCCCTAGAGTCCCCACGCCTCTCCGTGTCCGAATTTGAGCAATTTAACTAAAAATACAGAAAATATTCCCTTTTTATGAAATAAGTAAAAAAAATCTTGTCATTCTTGGCAGCAAGAGAAAACATCGCTGGAAAAGCCGACATGTTATAAAAATAAATGAAATTAAATACTAAATGAGCAGAAAGCGTGAATATTAATTTATTAAACACAATTTTGTGAGTTAAAATTAAATTAGGATTTGCGAGGTTATTAAAAAAATGCAATTGGAGTTATAATTGTTTAAAAAAAACAGGAAGTTATTATTGTCCTCTAGTCTGTCTGTAGTGACCTGTATGATGTTGTCCTCAGCTCCTCCTGTCTGTATTGATGTCCGGAGGCATTGATGTCTAGAGGCATTGATGTCCGGAGGCATTGATGTAAGGAGGCATTGATGTCCGGAGGCATTGATGTCCGAAGGCATTGATGCCGGAGGCATTGATGTCCGAAGGCATTGATGTCCGGAGGCATTGATGTCTAGAGGCATTGATGTCCGGAGGCATTGATGTCTAGAGGCATTGATGTCCGGAGGCATTGATGTCTAGAGGCATTGATGTCCGGAGGCATTGATGTCCGGAGGCATTGATGCCGGAGGCATTGATGTCCGAAGGCATTGATGTCCGGAGGCATTGACGTCCGGAGGCATTGACGTCCGGAGGCATTGATGTCTGGAGGCATTGATGTCCGGAGGCATTGACGTCCGGAGGCATTGACGTCCGGAGGCATTGATGTCTGGAGGCATTGATGTCTGGAGGCATTGATGTCCGTAGGCATTGACGCCCGAAGGCATTGACGCCCGAAGGCATTGATGTCCGGAGGCATTGATGTCCGGAGGCATTGACGTCCGAAGGCATTGATGTCCGGAGGCATTGACGTCCGAAGGCATTGACGCCCGAAGGCATTGACATCCGGAGGCACTGACATCCGGAGGCATTGACATCCGGAGGCATTATAACATTGGGAGAACGGTAGCAGTAACCTGCTCGGTTAATATCTTGCGTACAAATAATTTATTTGTGACACCTGAATTACACTCCATTACTGCGGCCGACATAAATATTGGGGGAAGTATTAATAATTATAAAATGTTACCGACAGCAGGTACACCGCAATAACTTTGGGGGCGATACTATAATACATATTTATTTGATGGCTTATTGTTATGTAGCCGTGGAAACTCTACATATGTAGGTGAGGTTATGCGGCGCCGCATAGCTGCTGACAGGGGGGCGGGGGGGTATGTAGGTTCTTGGAAGAATGTATTGATATATGTGTTATATATGTAATATTGAGGGTGGTGAGTGTGTAGCTGGGTACAGTGACACGTGTGGTGAGTGTGTAGCTGGGTACAGTGACACGTGTGGTGAGTGTGTAGCTGGGTACAGTGACACGTGTGGTGAGTGTGTAGCTGGGTACAGTGACACGTGTGGTGAGTGTGGAGCTGGGTACAGTGACACGTGTGGTGAGTGTGTAGCTGGGTACAGTGACACGTGTGGTGAGTGTGTAGCTGGGTACAGTGACACGTGTGGTAAGTGTGGAGCTGGGTACAGTGACACGTGTGGTGAGTGTGGAGCTGGGTACAGTGACACGTGTGGTGAGTGTGCAGCTGGGTACATTGACACGTGTGGTGAGTGTGGAGCTGGGTACAGTGACACGTGTGGTGAGTGTGGAGCTGGGTACAGTGACACGTGTGGTGAGTGTGGAGCTGGGTACAGTGACAATAATGGTGAAAGAACATGTCAATATCTGAATTCTATGTTTTTTTTTGTAATTATTAATTCATTAGGTACATGTGCATTAGTGCAGCTGCCCTAGACTATATGAAGTGGAGTACAGTGTGTCAAAAAGCAAACTAGGTGATGCTAAAAAATCCCCATCACACAGGATGGTTAGTCATACAGAGGCATGTGATGGGCAGTCTGCACTGGCAGACTCCGGATGCATTTTGAGAATATCAACACCACAAGATTGAATAAGGCAGCAGTGGTAATACAAGTCCCCATGTCGCAGGATGGTTAGTCATACAGGGCCATGTGTTTAATAGCCTGCACTGGCAAATTTTGGGTACACTGTGAGGATATCTTCAAGAACACGAGAGTGAATAGAGTAATTGCAAAGCTCCAGGTACCTCATGCCAACTGGTCTGAAAGGTCTAATAACTGGGCATTCGGTGATGTAGTGTGGGAGATCATGCCGCAGTTCCTGCTCACAGAGCTTGCAACTGAAGTGCTCAGGATTGGGAGATCCGTCACCTGTAGCCACCTGCCACAGGTAACTGTAACCCAACCTGATCCTGGCAACCACTGTGTCGCACAGTCTGGTCGACGCTTTGTGCTGCCCATACATATAGGTTTCAAATCTGAAGAAATTATAGCTTTTTATACTAGTACTTTCAGGTCGTTGGGAGTCAGTAACTTCTCTCCTATCAGACCTGAGTGTTTGGACCAATATAGTTTAGAGAGCAGAGATAATCCCATGGACTCGGCGGCCATCATTTCATCTCAACTGGCCTCATAAGGATCGCCATGGAAGTCTATCCCCCCTTAAAGAAGGGCAATGGGGCCGACCGCGACCCGCCTATGACAGTTCCCCATCACCCGCCAGACACCCTGCAAAGTTTAATGAGGCTCCAAGCTCAGAGTCTGACCTCCGACCTTGAACAACCTATTTTATATACATAATGCTGAAACTTACTGTAACAATTATTCAACACTGAAGTACTGACTATTGGACTAAAGTGGGTCTCACCTAAGGCCATCTTCCCTTAAAACAAAATAAACCCAAAAATCTCCGCCACTGGTTTATAACAAGGCGATATAAACTATGGTTTAAGAGGCCGTGATGACGCCATAATATCGGGCCATATTTTCCATTGCCAGAGATACACACAAGAGAGGAAATAGTGTAGAGGGAAGAGGGGAGCAGTGTGTGTGTGTGTGTGTGTGTGTGTGTGTGTGTGTGTGTGTGTGTGTGTGTGTGTGTGTGTGTGTGTGTGTGTGTGTGTGTGTGTGTGTGTTTTAAGGTTGGCCTGGCCATGAGACCCCACACGCATCCCACACCTGCTTTGTTCTCCCGTGGTTAAGTGAACCGGAGGTGGGGGGCGGGGGGACCCCCCCTGTACCGGGGAGTGACTGCCCTGTACCGGGGAGGAACCACCCAGTACCGGGGGAGGAACCACCAAGTACCGGGGGAGGAACCACCCAGTACCGGGGGAGGAACCACCCAGTACCGGGGGGAACCACCCAGTACCGGGGGGGGGGGGGCAGGACACCAGTACCGGGGAAGGAGGTGTCCCAGACAGCTCGTCCTCCTAAGACTCCCCAACGTCAAGAAACTGCCGTACTAAAGTCCCCTTATCCTAACCTACCAGAGGACCTAAAACAGAAAACGGAACATTATGTCAATTTCACAAGCCGCTACTATTATTCTAGTAGAACATTTTTTTGACCTTAGGTGGAGTAGACGGCAGAATGTGAGGTTGTGTTATGAGGGCAGGCTGGTCCGCGACGCTGCTATCAGCGGAGAGGGAGACAGCGCCCCAGGAGCTGGGGAGGGCTGAGACAGACAAGTCTTAGAGGAAAAGGTAGGAGAAGGGAAGTGGGGCAGGGTATGGAGACAGGAATAGAGGGAGGGACGGGGGGAGAGAGAGAGAGAGAGAGAGAGAGAGAGAGAGAGAGAGAGAGAGACAGAGAGAGACAGAGAGAGAGAGAGAGAGAGAGAGAGAGAGAGAGAGAGAGAGAGAGAGAGAGAGAGAGAGAGAGAGAGAGAGAGAGAGAGAGAGAGAGAGAGAGACAGACAGAGAGAGACAGAGAGAGAGAGAGAGAGAGAGAGAGAGAGAGAGAGAGAGAGAGAGAGAGAGAGAGAGAGAGAGAGAGAGAGAGAGAGAGAGAGAGAGAGAGAGAGAGAGAGAGAGAGAGAGAGAGAGAGAGAGAGAGAGAGAGAGAGAGAGAGAGAGAGAGAGATAGAGAGAGAGAGAGAGAGAGAGAGAGAGAGATAGACATACAGACCCGAGTAACGCCGGGTACCTTTTCTGGTAGTCCAATACCATTAAAGTTGTGGTAGCAGAAGAGTGTGTGTGTGTGTGTGTGTGTGTGTGTGTGTGTGTGTGTGTGTGTGTGTGTGTGTGTGTGTGTGTGTGTGTGTGTGTGTGTGTGTGTGTGTGTGTGTGTATATGAGTAGCCAGGCCACACACACCAACACCCTCACCTCTCTGACACATCTACACCTCAACAGTAACCGGTGTTAAGACACACTTAAGTGCTCCACACTGGCCGGATCCACAACAGCCACGCACCTCGTACACACTTGTAATTACGGCTCAGAAAAATCACTAGACACAATAAAGTATTCCTAAAGTAAAATTATATCTTGTTCATGAAGCCTTTGTCAACCGCCTCTACCATGACCTCTCCAACATTTAATTAAATTCTTGGGTGGGTCGGGAAGCATTACTGAAGCATCCAGAGCTTCGCCTTGATAGTGTATGTAAAAGTCTGCTGATACATTTACCCTAGACTATATGACGGGTTACACAGTGTGTGTGTTAGGAGCCAGCTGTGTGATACTAAGGTACCTGGCCGTTTATACGGCTGTATAGTCAAGAGCATAAATAGCTCTTGACTATACGAAGAGTTACACAGTGAGAGTCCATAGCCAGCTGTGTGATGAACCAAAGGGCGTTAAGGCATTATATTCAGAGAGCAGTTCCGTGTCAAGCTCTACACCCTAATGGTGGCTCACACCACCACTTGTACGAGGTGTACGAGACATATTTCCTTTGTGACAATCTTCTCATGAACGGATTACGGATCTGGGCATTTATTTTGAGTAACGTCCGAGTGTGTGATCATCATTTATGCGTATGTTGAATGGTGCATCATTATTCATTTGTGGTGCATTTACAAGTTTAATTTACAGTTCTTGCCAAGTGAGAAACTCGTAAAGTTTAGTGTCTTAAGTGTAGAGCCAATTACTGTTTCTGTGGCACTCTAAGAGACGGTCGGAAAGCGCAGTAAAGATTTTGTTTACAGTGCTTAGCCAATTTTGAATTCGTGGGAGAGGCTATTAACATAATGTATTGTTTACACTAAATTCTATTTGCATGTATTTTGTGTCTGTGCGTTGCTTCTCTGTGTAGTTTACTTATTGGTCTGTGCTGAGTTACTGTGAGTTACCGTGCTCACTGTGGGAACACAACTGAGGGTGAGAGTTACTGTGAGTTACCGTGCTCACTGAGGGAACACAACTGAGGGTGAGGGTTACTGTGAGTTACCGTGCTCACTGTGGGAACACAACTGAGGGTGAGGGTTACTGTGAGTTACCGTGGTCACTGTGGGAACACAACTGAGGGTGAGGGTTACTGTGAGTTACCGTGGTCACTGTGGGAACACAACTGAGGGTGAGGGTTACTGTGAGTTACCGTGCTCACTGTGGGAACACAACTGAGGGTGAGGGTTACTGTGAGTTACCGTGCTCACTGTGGGAACACAACTGAGGGTGAGGGTTACTGTGAGTTACCGTGCTCACTGTGGGAACACAACTGAGGGTGAGGGTTACTGTGAGTTACCGTGCTCACTGTGGGAACACAACTGAGGGTGAGGGTTACTGTGAGTTACCGTGCTCACTGTGGGAACACAACTGAGGGTGAGGGTTACTGTGAGTTACCGTGCTCACTGTGGGAACACAACTGAGGGTGAGGGTTACTGTGAGTTACCGTGCTCACTGTGGGAACACAACTGAGGGTGAGGGTTACTGTGAGTTACCGTGCTCACTGTGGGAACACAACTGAGGGTGAGGGTTACTGTGAGTTACCGTGCTCACTGTGGGAACACAACTGAGGGCGAGGGGTTACTGTGAGTTACCGTGCTCACTGTGGGAACACAACTGAGGGTGAGGGTTACTGTGAGTTACCGTGCTCACTGTGGGAACACAACTGAGGGTGAGGGATACT